ATTATTATTTTTTTTTGTTGTTGTATAAGATATGCTTTATTCCTATTAGGTTTTCGTAATTTATTTTCATTTTTTCGCTTAAGAAAAAATTTTACATCCAATTTCTTTAGGAAAAAAAAAAGTGATCCATATATAAGCAGAATAATTAAATAAATAATATAATTTCAATTAAAGAAGGTGTCTTACATGCTTAAAATAGATAGGAAAACAAATCCTGAAACTTTGAGCGAAATGAATATGCGGGATTTTTTACTGACTCAGATATATGTTGCAAGACAGGACTATTAACGTAACTTCGAAAAATAAGTTTTGTTTCTTTTTTTCCCTAACCACTTAGCTTACTAACCTTAATCCAAAGAAGCTATTTTCTAATCATGTGTGTATAAAATAAACGATACATCACAATATACTGTACTTCAATTATTGATATTAACTTCAATCTTTCAGACCTGAGGGACCTATCTCACGCTTTTAATCACACGTGCAAATCTGACGATTTCTACTTGCCATATAATAATCATCTCCATTTAATATTAAAGGGAATAGCACCATCTGGTTTGCCAATGAATAGTCCAAATGTTTACTAGAACGAGTCAATAGAAAACTTAAAAAGCTGACTTATCGACCATGAATTGTATAAATTTATATAATGAATGGAACTCGGCTAACTTGATTCGATGTTTTACAAAAATCACCTCCCGGTATTCTTTTAGATTGATTTTGGATAAATTGAAAAATACAAGTATATGAAACATGCTTGAAACATGCTTAGATAAGATAAATAGTAAGCCATATCGAAATTCAATATTTAAAATACACATTAGTTTTCTAAAGTAATTTATTGAATTTCGGTTAAAATAATAATAATAATAATATATCCATACAATTATTAATCTATAATAGTAGGCAACCAGCTATAACCCTGAAAATTTGCCTAAATACAAATCTTTTTGAGCCCTTATAATATCATCCCATTCATTTCCCACAAAAGGCCCATGTTGTACAACAGGTTCTCCGATAGGTTGTCCAGCAAATAATATGACTCTCAATGTACCATCTCCCTCATTAGTTATTTTCAATACCGATTCTTTTTCATCACAATCATTAATTTTTGATGGAGGACTAATTAACACATTACCGGATTGTAATTTAATATCATCATCACCGAAGGATCCATTTCCTTCAAGTATGAATATGAACATGTTATAATTGGCAGGTATAGATTCTTCTAACATGAAATTTTGTTCTAGAATGGAGATATCTAAAGCTTTTATGGGGATCACGTTCTTGGCAGGTCCTTTGATATCACCTGATGTACCAGAAATTACTCGAATTTTTGCCGCCGTTATTTCTTCTTCCTCTTCGTTTGAAATTTTGATTTCTCGAGTTGGAATGACATCTCTTGTGAGATCTTGATAGGATGCTTCAATCAATTTATGTTCTCGAGGAAGATTTAACCAGAGTTGCATCAAATGAACATCTGTCTCTTTATCTGCCGGAACTTCTTTATGTAATAATCCGCGTCCCGTGGTCGTCCATTGTACTTCGCTAAATTAATATTAAAAACGCAAAATTTTAGTCTGTTAAATTAAAAGTGCAACAAGGAGGAAGGAATCGGTGCAACTTACTCTAATTTTGAGTCAACGATTTAGACAAAATCATTCGGGTAAAATAAAAGAATTTATTTCATTAGATCATCTATGTACTAAATGTTTTTTTTTTTTTTTAATTCAATAATGTAATACGAACCTGGTCCAATTATTCCAGAGTTTCCCTTAGAATCTTGATGTCGTAATAATCCTTCAAATACAACCGTCACCGTCTAAATCATGAAAAAAAAAAATTAGTTCACGCGGAAAAATACATAAAATCATATTATATCCAATGAGTCATTGGTACCTCAAAACCTCTGTGTGGATGTAAGTCAAAACCTCCTGGGTATCTAAACCAATCTTCAGCACACATCAAGAATGGATCATGTAATTCCCATTTATTAAGTGGTAAAATCATCCCATTCGTCATACTTGGAGTACCGCGCCTTTTTTGTTTGGTTACTGTGTAAATTGTAGAAATTGTGCGGCGCAGCATACTTATTCTGGTGATAATCAAATCTGATAAATTAGATTTAGATCTCTATAATCTTGATAATAATGAAAAAATAAGATAAATAAAAAAAAGCCCCCCACTCAGGCAAAGGTGGTATTTATTGAAGAAAATAGATCAGCCAATCTATTTGTTGATTTCTAATTTATCAATTACTAATTAAAAGTAGCCATTCTAAGTAATTACAAATACTTTTTAATTAATTATTAAGTGTGAAGATTAATGCAAACTCTTAAGCTCAGGTTAATAAATTATGCGACAAAATTCCGGAAGAAGATCCGTTAAATACCCGAAATAGTTGCATAAATGTTTTTGATTTTCTTTATTTATAATAGAGTTAATACCACGTGATTTCTAAATCAGTGTTGATTACATAATGGTTTAGCCTATCAACAAACTTTCAAACAAGTCAACTCTCTTGAAATTTCCAACTATGGATTCGAGAATTTTTTTATTTTTGGTGTCACCTCGAAAAAGAATGCATAAAAAAAAAAAATTTTTTTAATATTGCTTTTTTATCGAATATTTGGAAAAGCCTTTTTTTTTCTTCCTTTTTTTTTAAAACAAAATGAATTCTGTTCGACAAGTTGACGAACTTGTCAAAGAATATTTGCTGGTAAAATTTTAATTCTCAGGAAACACGTTTGGTTATTTTCTAATATTCTTAACCTAACTTACAACTTTTAGTTTAGAGGATTCTCAAATACTTTTCGCGCATTCGAACAAGATTGTCGAAACGATAAAGACAAAGGTTTTCAAGTATGTATTTGTATAAGCGCCTGTGTAATCATTATCAAAGTGCATATAAATAATATATCAAAAAATATTTAGGCCGATAAAATCATTGAAGAATTAAATTCTTATATTACATCTAGTGATATTAATGGATTACTGGATTATTGGAAATACCTTGATTTAAGATATTTTTCTCGTCTAGATGCAAGATTTTTTGGAAGCGTAAAAAAATTTGAAACTAGTTTATTAAGATATTATCTTGTTTATGGTAAAAAAAGATATTGAAAAATTGGATACTAGATTATTTTTATGTTGATTTTTTTTTAAATTTTTATTATTTTTTTTTTTATATTTACTGTAGCAACGCAACAAAAGCGAAGAGATAAGCTCATCGAATTTTTTGATACTTTTGGAACAGAGTTAGTTGGAAATCCTGAATGGTCAAAATGGTTTGGTGAGAACTCGAACACGATATTTTTATTATCTAGTATATATTTATTGAAATTTTTTTTTTTTGAAAAAAAAAAGGCTTGCCATTCTCAAAACACCCAGCTGCAGATCCAAGCTTCGAAACATTTTTCACAAAACAGTGGTTAGATAAATTCACTATGTCTCTACATAATTTCCTAAATACCATATTTAAACATATGCGTATCCTTTTTAATGATTCATTGCATATATTTTTATAATATCTGCTATTTGTTATCTTTTAATTCAAATGATATTAAAATTTAGCGCTACCAAGTTTATTATGTTTTAATCTTGATCGATTGCGTCGAAGAGCACTTCAAAATGAAATTGAGTCTCTCAAAACAGAATTAGAGAATGGTGACACAGAGATTATATCGCTTAAACAAAAAGTTGGTATTAATATATATACATATATTTTTTAATTTATATTTACTTTTACTTTGTTACTTGAGATATCAAAAAATTCTTAATATAACTCCAATGTCTTTAACAATAAAGCATTCGCATTTGCATACTGGGTAATTTGATTATTTTAGGTTGCTCAACGCGATTTAGCAGGAAGTCGACGGCAAAGTTGTGATAATTTACGCGAGAAAAATGAAAAAGATTTGTGAGTATAATGAGATGCTTTTAATAAGATTGTCGCAAGAGCTAACTTTAATGAATTTATTAGAAATCATCACGATGTATCTCGTTTAACTTTAACTTCGAATGGTAAATGAATCATTTATTTAAATAACCTATTCCCACTTTTCAATCTAAATTAATATTTTTTACCATATTCTTTGCTATAATAAAAATATGGCATTATGAAGAAGTTAATTTGTCATCACTTTCAAGATCTACAACGCCAAGTGGGAAACACGAAATAGGGTCACTTCAAAATGGCATAAAGACGCCAACAGATGAGCGAAGCATGTCGCCTATATCAGAATATGATACGGATGAATTTGAATTAAGGAATGGACATGCAAATGCAAATCCCTTTACTGTCACGAGTCAGGTAAAAATATATGTGTATATATGTTTATATTTATACTCATAAATTCAAATACGTTAATGCATTTACTTTACTTAGGAATTATTCTTGGAAAATTCATCAGGAATATCTGTGGCAAAATTTTCACATAAGGGTGATTTAATTGCAAGTTGTGATGTGGATAATATTATTAGGTATAAGTTAAATGCTTTGTTTTTTGGTATAAATAAAAATAATTTTGGTAAACTCATTTTGTAATTTCTTGTTGAAATATAAATTATTAATAGGATATGGAGTTACACGGGAACATCACCTACATTGAAGCTTAGTAATCTAAATTCTAATATATTAAGTTTAGAATGGGAAGCGAGATCAGACAAACTTGTAAGAAATTTGGGGATGAATAAAGTTTTTTTTTTCCAAAAAAAAAAAAAAAAAATGTTATATAAAATATATAATCTAAATTTTCGTTATGGTAATAGTTATTATATGGTACGGACGAACGACTGGTTAAAGTTTATAATAAAGAGAACAGGTCAATTGTTCATGAATTCCAAATGGATGATCGATTTCCGAGGTATTTATTGTGTTAACAGTAAGAAAGTTACGAGACTTTAATTATTTAACTTTATAAAATTTTTTTTTTTTTTTTAGGGTAAACCAGATAAGCTGTTCACCGGTGGAATCATTATTTGCATGTTCAGGGTCACCAAGATCAATTGATGATGCTTGTATCAAAAGTGTAACGGGATCTTTAATTACTTGGAATTTAAAAACAATGACTATACAAGATAAATTTATGTTTGAAGCCTCATCAAATTCACCATCTTCGTTACCTTTAACACCAATAGAAACCATTAAATTTAATCACAATGGTCAAATGTTGGTAACAGGAGATAAATCTGGTGGTATAAGAATATTTGGTAAATGAATGAATTAACTTTATTTTTATTTTTAATTTATTTTTATAATAAATAAATAATGATGATAGTACAATCTATTTAATAGATATTCGAACATTAACACCAATCATGAAGTGGAATATTTCTTCTGCAAGTAAAAGTGGTGGCAATAGCGTTATTTGTTCATCTCAATATAGTTTTGACGAGAATTCTATATATGTAGTTGAGGAGTCGGGAGAGGTTAGTTACATTTCCTAACAGAGGCAATTTATTTGCTTTGTGATAATTAAAATTAATTTAATTTATTGATTATGAAATACTTTGTTATAAAGTTATCACAATGGTCAGTTCATAAACCTGGATTGGCTATATCACAATCGAAACTACAAGGGTTTCCACCAACTATACCAACAACTTTAATTAATTTTACTCCTACATCAACCAAAACATTTCGTAAACGTACAACATCAATGTCATCAGTTCGTTCAACGAAATCCACAAGATCAACCTCTTCAATACCTTCAATTGTGATTGGCACTGAAACTATATCACATTATACACCGACTTCACGCGTCCCAATGGTAGCATTTAGCGGCGATACTGATTATTTAGTATGTGTTGGTGGTAATGACGGAACTCGAGGTGTTATTTATCAGGTAAAAAAAAAAATTTTTTTTGGTCGCTTCTGTTTTATTCTTTTTGAAAAAAATAGCTTCTATTTAATTTCTTTTTTTTTTTTAAAAAAAAAAGACATCTAATGGAGATCGAGTTCAAGAATTGACATCACATAAACAATATTTAACATCCGTTGATTGGACCAATACGAATGGAAATACTATCTTAACTGCCGCAATAGATGGTACTGTTAGAGTAACTAAAATGGAACATTCAACTGTCTCATAATATTCATAAATAAGGTAGGTTTAAGTGGTAATGTAATTTTTCTTAATTTTTATATACATTAGAAATTATGATTTATTATTATTATTATTATTATTTATGGTATTAGTATTAGTATTTGTATTTTTTATTTATTTAAAAGGTTGTATTTGTTTTTATTTATTCGCCTTATTAAAAAAAGTTTTGGTGATATATGTTGATTCAAGTTTAAAATGTGATTAAATCCAAAGAGACCAAATAATGAAAAAAAAATTGGTGTACTAACTTTCACTGGCCGCTCTCTGGGTCGGACAAGTTAGACATTCTATTTCGTTTTTTCTCGTAATCGTTGCATCACATTTATCTTGTTATTTCGTAAAAAATAAAATAAAATAAATTATTTTATCTTGTTCTAATGATTTAATTTGAATCATTTGCTGGTGAATTTTAATTTTTATTTTAATTTTTTATTTTCAAATACATTGAATCAAAAATTCTTTCGTCACTTAAGATTCATGTTATCATGGTGGTTTTCTATTAAATAAAAAAAACTAGATACATATGAATAATTGATCCTTCAGTCATAACTTGTACGTGAAATATTGGGCACGGAGCAGGTTGGTCCCTCAACTATTAAAGTAACTTTGAAAAATAAGTTTCGTTTATTTTTCCCTAACCACTTGGCTTAATAACCTTAATCCAAAAGGAGCTATTTTCTAATCATGTGTGTATAAAATAAATCATACCTAAATTCAAAAAGTAGAGGTTACATTTTTTAAGTGCGATATTTCAATTATAGGTATTAACTTCAATTCCTCAGTCTTGCAACATATGAGTCAGTAAAAAATCCCCGCCTATTCAAAGTTTTCAGGATTTATTTTCTATCTTTTTTTAAGCATGTAAAGACACCTTCTTTAATTGAGATTATATTTTTATTTATTTATTTTTATTTA